TCTTCCGTCCAAGACTGCTACAACAATCGGATCATCTACATACCAAACACATTGTGGTCATGTATTAATCTTCAATTTAAATTAGATACACATTTTGATCATCCAAATTCATCCTCTCTACTTATCAAAATGCAAGAAATATGGTTTTGCTTCTTCCATTGCTCAGAAATTAAAACTCCTAAAAGTCAACTCCACATTTCATTTTTTCAAAACTAAAGTTCGCAATTAATCGCGTAATTTCTCCATTGATCCCTACTTTCTCAGAGTTAACACTAAAGCTTTTGATCATTTCTAGCAGCAATATCGCGAATAAATAAGCATAAATTTGTAAAGCCACACACAAAAACATAAATGTGCGTTTGGACATTCATACCTTGTAGTTCATCGGCGATCGCAGCGATGTAGAGCTTGATCGTCTGAGAAGCCTGATCAGGAGCAAGCTCGGTGCGACGGAAAACGTCGTCGTTGTCGCGGATGCCGATGCGACGGAGAGCGGAGGACATGAGGGTTTGAGGCAAGGCGAGGCCGAAGAGAGCAGAGGAGACGGTGTAATCGGCAAGGTCGAGAAGCTCAGCTCCGGTGAGGGCCACGTTGGAGTCCGGCGGAGAGAGGTTGGTGGCTCGGAGGTGGGTCCCATCTAGGACCGTCAAGACACCGTCGGACATTTTCAGTTTTGAGAGAGAGAGAGTTTGTTTTGGTTTTGTGTTCCTGTGTCTTAAACTCTTGAGTCTCAACTCTTGAAACGAGAGTCCTGTACGGGCGTTGGCGCTTTGATTTTTTACGGGTCTTTAGAAAATGTCTACTATTAGCCTACGAAAAGTCATTTAAAAAAAAAAATCAACGGGAAAAATTGAAAATTGGAAAAAAAAAAAGAAAAATTGCGTCTTTTTGAAAGCTGGAAATTGGTGCATTAAAATCATATCACATCCAATAGTCAGGACCTCGTTCGTTTCGATGATTTGAGTTTAAAATTTGAGTTGAGATGTGATTGTATGTGAGAGCTTTTTACTGTAGTAAAAAAGTTAGATGTGATTGTTTGTGAGAGCTTTTTACTGTAGTAAAAAAGTTAGATGTGATTGTTTGTGAGAGTTTTTTACTGTAACAAAACTCAAATTCTAAACTCGAATCAGCGAAACGAACGAGGCCGTACTTTTCATTGAATGCGACAAAAAAAGGTTATCACAGCCTTTCAAAAAACAAAAAAAAAAGGTTATCACAAAATAAATTTTGGGATTTAAAGTATATTAGTAGGAAAATTCTTTGTGTTCTAACGGGGATTTATTCTCATAAATACAAAAGTGGCCTGACACGGTAGAATCTCCGTGAACCCTATAAGTGGGGTCCGCTTTTGTATTCAACGGGGATAAATCCAATTCGAACACGTAAAAGTGAACATATTAATATGATATCAATGCGTGTAATTCGTAGTTTTTTACCCCCCTCAATGATCACGTTTTCCGTACTGCCTTTGCCTGCCTTTTATAAGAGAAATGAAAGTGTCAAATTATATATACATATGTATATATATTGTTTTAAATTCATTCCAATACTATAACACGTACAAGTACAAACTATTAAAACCCAACTTCGGAAAAAGAAAAAAAGAAAAAAAAAAAACATTAAACTAACTGAACTTCACTTATGGACCTTGACACAACAGACGAGTGATAATCTTCCGCATCAAAAACTGTATTTGTCTTGGCATTCTCAAACCACTCATCTTCCCTATCCAACAACGCGAAACCCTCCTCTCCATGCACGGCCTTATCACCAATCTTCAGTTCATCACCGTCCAACCTTAGAGGAATATTCATCAACTTTATAAACATGCAAATCAAGCTTGTCATGGCAACGTTCAACAAAACAACGAAGACAACGCCTCCCAACTGAATTCCCATCTGTCGAAATCCGTCGGAGGTTCGACCTGTCTGGAGGCCGTACGCCAGTCCGATGTATTTCTGCCAGTCTGGAACCATGTAGAACAGGCGGCAGAGCTTCGGAACAGCGAAGAAGCCGGTGAGGATGCCTCCTAAGACGCCGGCAATGGCGTGGGTGTGGAAGACGGCCATCGGATCGTCGACGTGCCTCAAGAGCTTCACCTTGTCGTGAAGTATCATCATTGTGTACCATGGAACGCTTCCTGATATCATTCCCATTAGAATGGCTGCCCAACCTTGCACCACTCCTGTGTGATTTTAAAAAAAAAAAAAAAAAAAAAAACATATGTTATTTATTGGGAAAAAAGTTAAGATAAAATACTAATTTTCTAGTTTATTTATAGAATTTTGTCACATAAAGTTATTAACGTTTGATGATATGTATTGTTATGCTTGATTCTAATTTTTCAGACAACAAATTCTGTTTTAGTACAATAAAGTTTAAAGTCGGAACGTTTGCTACTCTAGACTCAATTAGTTATATGTCTAGATGGTGCGTCAATAATTTCTTGTATAAAGATACATAACCAAAAGTTGTTTTTACTTTATTAAATTAAAATCTTACCAAGTCTCGTGATTGCAGGGATGTTTTGACGGTAATTCTACGTCGAACTTAATCACAAAATATAGAATTCGAGTTTTCCATATTCCAAGTTTAAACAGAACAAAAATAGTTATCAAGTTTCAATATTTGTATAAAATATTTATTTTAAGAGAGTTTTTTTAGTCATCTATCATATCGATAGTTTTCATTTTTAACTGTTAGATCTAGTTAAAATCACAACAAATTAAAAAAAATACAAAATAGACAAATTTTAATATAGATCTAATGGCTAAAAAATAAGAGATTACTGATAGTTTATTTTTAGAACGACTACAAGAGAAAGTCCTTTATTATAATTCAGGAATATATGAGGACCACTTAGATACAACTTATTGACCTTATGCAGTGAGACATTTTGGAAGATTTTAATTGTGGAGGAATATGATATTGTACCTGCAGCAGGAGTAATGCAAACTAAGCCGGTGATCATGCCTTGTACGGCGCCAATCACAGAGGGCTTGCCAAAGATGCAAACGTCAAGGATGACCCACGTCAGCAAGCTCGTGGCAGCGCACACGTGGGTGTTAAGGACGGCCAGAGATGCGTTGATGCTTGCCACGAATGGATCTCCACCGTTGAATCCTGTCCACCCCATCCAGAGCAGGCCTGCGCCTGCAAGCATCAGAATGATGTTGTTTGGTGGCGGAAACCTCTCTCTGTCCTTTTCTTCTCTGGGCCCCACCTGAATATACACCTAAGCAAAATTAGCCACCTCATCTCAAATCTATTCGAGCTTATGTCACACTTATAAAAATACAGAATCAGTATCCCAGTACACCACCTATTGGCAAGCAACTAGCTAGCTAACAAAAAACAATACGAAGAAAGAATAAAACTAAAACTTTTCAGTGTTAAAATACTTTTCATTTCATTCCTTAATTGATAAACTTTAACAGTACTTCTTCTAATGTCATCGTAACTATGTTGCAGTCCGTTTTTTTTCTAATTGTGACTAAAAGTTACATTTTAATTGTGACTCAAAGTCATGTTACAAGAAGATGTTGTGGTCTAAATGTTATTTTTATTAGAGAAAAGTTCAAAATTTTAATGTTACTAGGAAGCATTATATGATTCACCAAAATACATGATATTAAACATAGTTGTGTTCAAATGGTAGATATAGAAATATTATCATCTATTAGTTGCATGCCCGAACGCGCGAGCGCGCATATATATATATATAT